GTCCCTGCTTGAGCAGCAGAGGGTTCCCCGTTCCCTGGGCGCGCAATTCCCAGAGACACACGAGCCCCGAGAGAAAACATTGCAGAGACTCACCACAGCGCAGGTGACGGTCAGCGACTGGAACTATGCTGCTAAATTCCCAGTACTCTTCCTTCCAGCTAACAATATTGCCCATGGCACAGTCCAGTAACTCTTCCTGCTCCATGGTGTGGTCCCACATTTGAAAATAGTACAAGCTGCCAATGAAGCTGTTGCTTACCCGCACTATTAGGCCATCCTGATTTTTATGCAGATGCCCCAGCACCAGGCTTCCGTTGGGTTTCAGGCACTCAGCATGGTCAATGGTTTCGTTATACAGTAGGTTACCATTGCAGTAGACCTGCAGCAGTTGTGTTCTGGTGTCCCAAAGGCAGCACACACTATACCAGACAAAAATGGCTAAGTCAATCTCAATGTCTCTTCTCGTCCCAAAAAGATACACTCTCAGGTGCTTGTTTTCCCCAGAGAGTCCAAGCTCTATGTCATTTATGTCAGTGGAGGTGTTGTTAGTGTCGTAGGAAAATGCTGCCCAAGAACTTATATTGGCAGTCCGGTTTAGATCGATGCACACAGTAAACTGACATAGCTGAGGGATGCTGTAGCTGGCCAGAGACACGTACTTATCAATCCTTCCCAGTAAAGCCAGTCTTTCTCCCTGCAGATAACGTGTTTCTGTAATAAAACAAAAAATTAGGGGGGGGGGGGGGGGGGAGGGGAAAAAGTGAAAGAAAAAAAAATAATGAGTGGGGGGGGGGGGGGAAGAAGGGAAATAAAGTATCACTTTTCAAAGAGAAAGCTGCAATATGACCTCATTCAGGTACTTTTGTGTCACAGTAATTGCTGTGAATAACTAAAGTATACCTATCGTGAGGGAGTAGCTTATTTTTCAGATCATTCTTTTCAATAATATCACAAGATGATTTAAAAAAATAAAAGTTTTTTCTATTTATTGCTTTCTCTGAAGTTTAGTGCTGAGACCTCCTACGCTACCATTAAAGCCCAGATAAGTTTCATTGTGCAAAGGAAAACTGGAAGGTCAGAAGACCTGCCAAATGGGAAACCTTACAGAATTCAGGTCTGAAGTCCACATGGCTCAATATCACTACGGGCGATCACTGCAAAGGTCTCGGTTCAGCCCACTCGGAGAGAAGAGCTGTTTGCAGGTTTGGCTCCTGGATGAAATGTCACCCTTGCCTTATCTTCAGTGTATAGGTCAAGGTTTCTGCTGATAATAAATATCATAAGGACTATCCCTTTTCCAGTGCTCTGGAGGGCTTTTTTAGGTATCTTTTTTCTTCATTATTTTTAATCATCTCCTTGTATCTTTACTCACACAGGTTTTCCTAACAGAGGCCAGAACCTCACTGACTAATACTAACTGCAGACCTACGCTCGCCATGAGTAGCTTGCCCACATGCGGCCACCTTGCAGCTTTAGTGATGCAGCCCTGACTGCAGAGTAGCAGAGCAGTCGCTGCTACGGCTATAAACCAGCTAACCTAGATCCCTGGAGCAGTCTGGCAGACGCACCGGGGAGCTCCGTGTAGGTCTTTCACCCTGCTTCTCTGGGTACGGCGCTCCACATGAAGTGTCTGCCGTACATACGGCCAGGAGGCAGCCTCGTGTAATGCTAAGACATGTATCTCTATTCTGGGGCTCTGAATTCACCATGGTGACATGCCCAGAGAGTCCCGCTGCAGTCACAGGCAGCCGCAACAAAGTCCTTTCACCAGACATGAATCTCTGTGAATCTGCATAAAGCCACACAACAGAACCAGCCCATAGGCAACATGTTCTGACAGCAGCACAGCCACTATTTTCTGTTTCCTGGTGTCTCCCAAGAGAAGGCAGGAGCCAAGCTTTCACTCACCCCATCCACCCCCCACAAAATGCTTCCGTCTGCGTTGGGGTGGCCCCACATGCACCATCAGAATGGTGAGATTTAGTCAGACCCAAAGCATAACCCAGGCTGCTCTTGTACAGGAGATTTGCGTTTTTAAACTTTCCATTGTGGTCACATGTTTACATGCTTCTCTAATTCAGGCTATATTTCTTCTAGATAAGAACTGCCACTATGCTGAGTCCTTTATAACCATATCTTAGGGCTGGTTTTACAGCATTTTCCTCAAATGAAGTAAGTTCTTCCAAAACCTGATAGCTAACCATGCAATTCAGATATTATAAATCCCTGAAGTCCAACCCGACCTATAAGTCTCCAATGACTATTTGCACTCCTAATAAAGGTTATGCATGTCATGGACTGCAAAAGTATCAGACACTTTTCCCATCTGCTTCACATACTTCAAATCAGTGGCAAGTAGGAAACAATCCATCTACAGAGTGTAATTCTCGGTAGGTAATTACAAGTGGTATATTGCTCTCCTGGTGTAGCTTTGTGCACTCACGGCATAAACAGAATATTTCTATTACACGTAGTAACATTCAGCTATCTTTCATGTCTGTCTGCAAGCTCTAAAAAATCAACTCCGCTGAACCCAAGAGTACGTCATGGAGTTCATTACAACATAAGAAGATGCAGCAGCCATCTTAGGCCATGCTTTCCAGGGCTTCCAGGGCCCAGAAGGGGTAAGAAGCCAGTTTCCAGGTTTTCTTCCGAGAGAGGAGAATTCCCAGGGCATGTATGACTAGCAGAACTGGCATCCATCCCACAAATGACCAGATCACAATTGCACTCTGGCAAAGACAAACTGACAAAACATCCTTTCAGGGGTCAGACCTTCCAGCGTCTTGTAACAGGTACATCAGGAACTCCTGCTGTACCTGTGTCAGACCTGAGAGGTGGTGGACAAATTCGGCAAGACATGAATACAGTCTTTTTATTACAGTTTTATGTGGAAAGAGAAGCTCATTTCTTCCTCTACTGTACTGTACTGCTGGAAGTAACTCCAGTACAATAGGATGCATTTTAGAAACATGGATCATCCCTATGCCCTGAATTGCTCTTGAGGAGAAGTCAAAAGAAATAAATACCATAAAACAAGGTAGTGCTAATATAGGGTGGAGGGAAAGGGTGCTGAATGTGTTCATGAAACAAAACCTATTGCAGTTGATTCAGCACCTCATTATTGCTGGGGAATTTGTTTTTTCCAGTAGTTTAGTGCTTTTCCCAGGACACCATGAAGCAAGTAAATGCCCTATTCATGTTTTATGGTGAACAAAACAAAACTAGAAAAAAAACCATATAGAAATGCAGAGAGACACCCAGCAAGGAAACCAATGAATAATGACAAAACCAAGAGGCTTTTTAACCTCCAAACCTGGACAACAGCTGTGATGCAACAAAAGCCTGGCATTTTACTCCTTGCCATGTTTTCTTGTCTGTGCTAGCCCAACTGTGTACCAGAACAACCAGCACCCCAGAGCAGGGTGCACAGACCTGTAGGACTGCAGGCCATCATATACTCAAGGATGCAGGATACACAAGGAGCCCAGCACCAGTTGCAGTGAGAAGGGCAAGGTTCAGAGCAAGAGGAATATCCACACCGTGGCAGAGCAGGAGGAAAACGGGTTCCTAGAGGTACTGGGCATTCACAATCCAGGAAACCCGTAGATATCCTCTGGGCTGCAGGGCATGCCCAGAGCCCACTGGCAGCCAGGGGCACCTGACAGCACCATCCCTGTGGTTATTCCTGAGGGGAATTACTGTACCGGCAAGGAGGAAAAGGCCAGCAGCGGCCATCAAGATGCAAAGAGCCTTGTCAGGAGATCGCTGTCCAGGGCTCCACATGGACTTCTTCATTCTCTAGGCATGTTCTGGGGAAAAAAAAAAGAAAAAAAAAATTACAATCACCCATTCACCACACACTCAGCTGAGAAATTTAAATTGCTTTGTGCAGCCGGGGGAGGAAGAGAAGCCTTCCATTCACTTTGGAAAAAAATGAAGCAGAGATTGCTGAAATGGCATTCACAGCGGAGGAAGCCAGGAGTCTCACTCACTGTGACCAAGCTGAGTCACTAGATCAGCAGTCTCTAGAAAGGTTAAAAATATACAGTCTTTTTGAGGGTTTTTTGGTGTAGTCTCTGAAAGAGATGAGGTTTATGCAGTCACACTGTGTATGTTTGTCTGTCTGTCACTGAACTTCAAACCTGTCGGCAAATTTCAATCCACTTTGACAAAGGAGTCAATGTCTGAGGTAGTGAAGTTCCTACAAACGTGGGAAAAACAAGTGGCCAGAAAGAGAAAACCCTATCGGGGAGATAAAGTCTAATGTGCTCACCCGCTGTTTTATGTCACAGAATATTGACATATTTATTGACATATATGCCTATCTCCCTGCAGGAAGGGAGACAGGAGGGCAGCAGACAGGGCAAGAGGCGCACGGAGAAGCAGGGCTGCCTCAGACCCACAGCTCACGGACAACACAGTCAAACAAGATGTTTTTTCTCACTGTTGGGCTTTGTCTACCTACAAACTTTCATCAGTTTAATTAATTCCTGGAGACAGGCACTTCACTGGAGAACAAATAGTCATGGGCTGTCAACATACGTTCAGCACTTAAAGCAAAATTAGATTATGCCACTCTACATTGGAAGAAGTTCATCCAGTTTTGTGCTTCAGTTTTCACTAAATTGCTTTAAAAGAGGACTCAGTTAAACTAAAGCAAGTGAGTGGACAAACAGCCTAGATTCCCAAGAGTCCAGGACTTAGTCCTGGTGTCCTGCATACTCCCCTGAGGTGGTTTTCACTATTCACTTTACTGGGAAGCAAATGCACGTGCATATCAGGGTCTTGGACCACAAGGGATTAAGTCTTCAATTAATAACGATGTATTTAGACTGACTGCAACCGATGGACTAGATCCTCAAATTGTCTAAGGGGGCCAAGCTCCTTCAGGGGAGTTGCCCAGCTTCACATCTAACACAGCCCTTGCCTGGGACTCTCCACTAAGGCGTACTGCTATCTGATCACTGGCAAGATGGGATTTGTCCCTTTGCATGCAGACATACAAAATAAACATTGCAAAAATGTTAAAAACCTGAACTAATGGAGACTTTCTCCATTTCCTTTTAAAAGTGCACTTTACAAAATTTATTAAAAAGTTAGGAAGCTTCATCCAATTTTCCATGTGCTGTCTTACCTAAACAGGAATTCTTCTATTTGTCAGGTGATTCATATCCACTTCTAAAAATACCACAGTCGCTAAAAGGTGCTGCTCAAAAACTCACCTCCCTGGGTGGCACAGAAGTCAAGGTAGGTTTTTGCTATGTGCACTACACTGTTCCTTCTGTCAGATGGCAAAATACCTCCTGGGGACGAAGAGAAAACCAGGTGGCATGTTGTGATGTTTTCAGTGGGTCAGGTAATGAAGAGCAGGTGATTTCCATTCTGAGGTCTCACTCCTTAGCTTACTGGAAAACCTGCTGTGACAACAAATCTCTACTCTCAACCTTCTCCTGTATTACTTCTGCAATTATTTGTTGACTTTTGCAATGACATTTAAGAAACAAACCATTATGTTTGCAGCCTGTGGTACGTCATGGGGCTGTATTAAGTTTTGTCCAGAGCAAAGTTCAGAACGCGTAGCATTATAAAACATAAATTAGAAAGAAATAGCTGAACC